AGAGCGGAGTCGGCGAAGAGGGCATAACTTTGAGGATTACACGTCTTAGAACGGATCCCGTGAACCATCGACGGAGCTCCACGGGCTCCGCCAAGTTGAAACGAAGTAACTAAGCAAAGTATCGAGGCGCGCGCGGTCTTGTCGAATTCTCCGACGGATCGCCGTGCGGTCTAAACAGCGGAGTTTCGAGGCGGGGTAAACCTGTTTAGAAATGATGCACCTCATCTTAGCGGTCGCCGGGAGAACAACGATCTCGATTGTTGTTCAAGCTTATCGTATCCGCTCGCTTATTAAGCAGCGAGCGCGGCCAGATGAGCAGCTCGTTTCAGAAAAGCAGGTTTAGCCCGCCGAAAGTGAAGCGGTCTTCGCGATGTGTTTTTTTTTCTCCTCGGAGCAGCGCGTTGCGGCTCTTTCGGAAACTTTTAGGGTAACTGGTCCCCATGCTACGGAATCGTGTACTAATTTTTTCGTTGGAAAATACGTCGTAGAAACGGTGGCGCGCGGAGATATTCATGCGGAGACTCGTGACGCCGACGGCTACTCTACTAGTTTTTGATTTTTGTCACGTGCCACAACGAATGAATGGTTAATTCTCGTATGGGAATTAGCGTTAGCAGCTTCTTTGAATTTCTGCCTGACATTTTACAGATATCTGTTCTACGCGTGTTGCTACTGATTAAAAAGAGTTGTTTTTGTAAAATTGGTAAATTAGAGCTTCTTTTTGTGTAGTTTTACTTTTGCTTTGCCATTGACAATGAATACGAGGTTGTACGGTAAAACTTTTGCACAATAATGTAGAAAATTAGATTGGCGATTCTTAGAAATTTAGGATGTCTGGAAGCTTGAAAAATTCGACAACGCGATAATACCACTTTATCGTCCGGTCGTGGTTGAGGCTGCCACTCAGTAAGGACTGGCTTAGTCGCGCGCGCATTTGCTCCCAGTACCGGCTAAATTTTCGCTATTCATTGTGTTGTGCTTATTCCTTTAAAAATAATAATAAATAATAATATAATTATTATAATTATAATTCATAAGGATATGGGGAGGTCAGCATACAGGAGGTCAGCTACTAACAAAACAGTAAAGAAGCGAAAACCGTCGATAGCTAAAAGTCGATTAATAGGCTATCGGTCGATAAGCATTGGCAATCGAAAAGCCGATTAATAGGCTAGCGATCGATAAACATTGGCAATCGAAAAGCCGATAAATAGGCTAGCGGTCGATAAAGTGATACTAACAAAATTTAGTCATCTTTCCACTGTGTTATATGTATAATTAAAGTAGACCGTGCGTGCATTTGTAATAAAAATTAGCGAATGAAATATGGAACAGCATAAATATCAAAGGATATCTATGAATATCTATACATCATTCTCAATTCTCTAAAATTGATGAAGAAATCTTGCATAATACGTTTTTCTTTTATTTCGTGTAAAATGATCCCAGGAAAGACCAGTGATGTTTCTGCCGTGTCTTCGAAATGAGTATAAAACGGTAAATTTATTTCGCGATCGACTGATATTAGAGGTTTATATTTCATTGTGCAGGAGATCGCAAAGCACAATCCCATATCATTGTCCACCTTCAATTTCATATATATTGTCCAAACCACTTCTCAGATCGATCTTGCCGACCTATTCAACTTACGTGGTCCTTTATGCTCTTGGAATCGTTCGAGCGAAACGATTGCTGGTTTTTCCCCTACTTTTCCTACTTATGGGGGTTCACTATTTCCTTGGAAGTCTGACGTCTCGTGAGAGCTTAATTCTTTCCCAAATCGAAATCGATTTGTCTTGGATAAATCACGAATTATGACGACGGAGAATAGTAATGACACAATTTCATTCTTCAAAATTCTAATTAATCTTTTCGCATTCGACAATGCGGAAAACTGAAAGTATCTTTACGATGCAAGGTTTTTTTCTTTTAATTTTACTCCTTGCCGTACTTTGACGAGTCCGAAAATTTTTAGTAATAATAATTATTATTATATTATAATATTATATATACTTATTATAATAGTAATTATTATAATAGTAATAATAATAATTATTATTGAGTATAGATATTATCCTGTTCTTTAAAATTGGAATAAAATATTAACCTCTTGTCATCAATACTTAAGCGTTTCAGTAAATTTAGGCACACTTATAAGCATCAATTTTCTTTCCCTCCTAAGAAATTATTGCAATCGAAAAATTTCGAATCGCAGTAACTGCGAAAAAAATTGTACGTCAAGGGGTTAAGAAAATTACGCCCGGAAAACGAACCCAAGCAACAGCAATTGGTTACCCCGCACTACCCTGATTCATCAAATTACAAATCACGATTCATTAGCAAACGGAATCGAGATCACCCAGACATTGTATCACAGTGAAATTGAGGATCGCTATAAAATGGTCGGTCGTAAAAAAAAGGTAATCTGGAAGTAGGCTGGGTAAGACCGAACTCTCATTTTTCAGCCGGAGGAACGATAATTTCGTGATCCGCGCAGTGTCGGGACGCAAAACAAAACGTGAAAGTGAGACAACATAAGTTTGGCTAGTATTTCCGGCGAGGAAAGATCCCCGGGAACTATTTGGACTAGACGGGGGCCGAGCTTATCTTAATCCTTCCCTGCCTGCCAAGCTGCCTTGAGTGGCTTTCTATAGACCGAATATTTCATCTCGGTGGATACTTTACTGGTGGAATCTGTCGCTAGAGAAAATGTGTCTCCGTCTCTGCTCTTCCGCCACAATCTCACCGGTGTTCCCGCTTTTCTCGTTCTTCAAACCCGGCCCGCTCCCTTTCCCGCGCTCTTTACCCTCGTTCATCCTTCTTCCCGGAATATATAGATTTCGATCGGAAAACTTATTACTAAATATAGCCGGCGTCGGAGGGAGAGGATGGCTTTCGCCGGATTAGGACGGAAAAGAAGCCGAGGTGAGGAAGAATTTTCCGCAAACACGTACACACAAACGCGGGGAACCGGAATGCGGACGAAATCACTCTTCCTTCCTTCCTTCCTTCCTTCCTTCCTTCCTTCCTCTCTTCTTTTCTTTCTTTCTTCCACGTCTTCACTTCTTCCTTTCCTCTCTCTCTCTCTCTCTCTCTCTCTCTCTCTCTCTCTCTCTCTTTCTCTCGGTCTCTCTGCCTTACCTAACCGGCTCCCCCTTTTTTTCTTCCGTACCTGTACCGCGTGCAAGCGATTTAAGTCGATCCCGGCACGATCTGTTTGACTTTTACGCGGTCGCGCGAGCACGTAGCGTGTTGTATGAAGATTAAGTGGCCGTTGATGTAAGAGATTTCGAGCTAGACGGAGACAGGGAACGAGCAGCGGAACGCCCGCGACAATTTTTCATTTCCGGCGATTCAATTTCGGGAGATCGCGTCCAACTTTTCTTTTATTTAACGCGGATGTTTCCTTTTTAGCTTTTTGTAGGGGACGCCGTTCTTTTTACCTGTTTCCACATGGAGAGGAAATTTACTATTTCAGGAAGAGCGACGACGTACGGATGACAGAGTTGCACATCTTTTTTCAGAAGTTGCAGGCATGTAATTTTATTCTACGTGCATACGGGGTGGTATACGGAATTTTTATAATAATTCGGGTGCTATTGTTGTTATTATTATTATATTAGTAATTATATTAGTATAATTTTAATTATAATTGTTAATAATATAATTGTTAAAATAACTCCCGTATTAATGCATTTACTGTCTGTAGACCCTTAGATTTTTTTATTAAGTGCACCATTGCATGTGCGATTATCGATTGCATCATTTCTTTAAATGGAAATGCGTTTTCTTTAATCACGGAGTTATGATCTGCAAACAATTGCGTAGATCACCCTGTATATATGTAATTAGACTTCATGCATTTTTGACGGGATCAATTAGATCGAAAACAAACCTATGGAGACGTACCTCCGTTTACAATGAAGTAGTTAATACAATGAATTATTAAAGAAGCAGATTGTATATTAAATTGAATAAATCGAAGCACTTTTAGCAATTAATCGTCAACTCTTGACACCTACACCGATTGTTAGATTGCTGATTACAATGATATTCAGGTAAAACTGTTTGGTCCATTATGAATTGAAGAACATTCGATAAATGTATCAAATTATGCATGACATATACCACGTCAATCGCTTCATCTATTTTGTTATTGAATCAAATTATTCCGAATGATTAAATTACACTTCATGAATTTAATAGAATAATGGTTAAACTAGTAATTAACTGATTGTCATCGTGTACTTTTGAATTTAATATGGAGTATTTATTAGCCGGATAAAATGACAGAGAAATAATATATTTAGAAGAATTAAGTTAATGAAAATGAAGAATGTAGTGCACTCAGTAATTGTTGAAACACGTCGAGACACGGTTATCGTTTCGACACGAATTAATTAATCACTTAGCCAAAAATGTTCTTATGTTGAGAAAGAAGCAAAAAGTCATACTCCATACAAATTAAAGCAAAAAGAAAGTCTCGCCTCTCATTGGTCACTGTTTTTCGTTAATAACTCGTAAACGAAGCCGCGGATTGCATTTTCGCTAAGGAAAAAGTTACTTCGAACGATCTTTCCGGATGTTATATACAAATAGGAGTATATAAAAATCGTTGTCAACGGTATCACAAAGCAGATTGTGATGTCACAACAATTCTTTCTTCGCTTTTATTGCGTTCTGATATCAAAACCAACAAATACTGCACTGTATTCAATTTTTTCCGTGGTTGCGGGTCGCAAACATTGAGAAAACGGCTGGAAGTCTTCTGGGAAAAGATTAGAGCATTAATTAGTCTGAGAGGACGCGTCTGAACGTGCCTAACATAAATAAAGCTCGAAACATCAAGTACACATATCCACTTTCTCAGCGTCCCATCTGTGGACACCCGAGAATTGTTCGAGTTTCATTTTGAAATATAATGTCGGTGTAACCAAGGCGCGAGAATTTAATTGCTGTACTCCGTGCGGTTTTATGCCGGCCATTCCCTACGCCATTACCAGGTACTTTCCTATGTTGCGAACGGTGCAGGAAAAAATGACTTCGCGGCCAATGGCGGCCGTTTGATTTCCGACCGGACCGACGAACGCTGGTCCTGAGGTGACACTCGGATCTGAAACAATGAACAAGCCGATTAGGTTCGGAATCTTTTGCGAGGCTGAAACTTTATTTAAAACAGACCATGGATTTTATGCGATCATCAGAAAAGTGAGCATAAGCTAATACTTCAAGAGAATTTAACAATAAAAACTGTTATATCAGTTTCAATCTATTCGAATAAAATGACAACACGAAGCACCAATATTAAAATAGTATTGCACTGGTGCGTCTATCTCTCATGTTTCGAAAAGTTTCCGGGACATAATTCTAGATTTGTTTATGCACAACGCATTTATTAAGGTGGAAAAATTTGTTGCAGATACGTTTCGTGGAATATTATTAGATCTGTGCTGGTCTGGATGGAATTTGCCGTTTCTATTAAGGGCTGATATTGATCCTGGTACAATATTAACTGTGCTCCTTTCATGCCTTTAATTATTCATGATTTCAATCCTCCATTATTATTTTAAATGAATATGTTCGTTTGCTTTGTTTATCATTCGATACATAATTACGGTCAGCATTCAATAACATTTATTCAAGATACAATGAACGTCATACTGATGTAATAAATAGAAACATATTAGCCGATGACAGGGGGCGTAATTGAAAAATGACAACAGATAATGATTCAGAATGTTCTAAACGATAACTCTTCGAACTTCTAATTTTAGCAGCTCGGACTCGTCACTTTTATAAACCTTGTGTTATAAAGAGTATCTTATAATTGTGTTAGTACCCGGAAAAGGGTGATTCCTGAGATTATTTCAAGTAACTTTCTCCTTTGCGAAAATGCAACCCGCGGCTTCGTTTACGAGTTATTAACGAAAAACGGTGACCAATGAGAGGCGAGATCAGCTGACGCGAGGCGACCGAGCCAATGAGCGGAACTGGGCTTCGACCGCTTATTGGCTCGGCCGCCTCGCGTCAGCTGATCTCGCCTCTCATTGGTCACCGTTTTTCGTTAATAACTCGTAAACGAAGCCGCGGATTGCATTTCCGCTAAGGAAAAAGTTACTTCGAATAACCTCAGGAACCTCTCACTCCCCAGAAATACCATAATTTTGGGACGCCCTGTAGACTTTCCGGTCCTCTGTGGCACCGGAGGATTTCCGTCAGGTTATATCAAGTAATGGATGGAGAATCGGAATCTCAATTGCAAGAACGTCGACGAAACTAGACGGGCTGAAATAGATGCGCGTGTGGTTTGTCGTTCGCCGAGTAGCGGGGTGAGGCGTGAGAAGAGCAACTCGCCGTCGATCACCGTCGTTGTCGTTTATTACAATGTAATACGTATAGTTGATCAGCGAGAGAAACAATAAATATGGTACAATTGTTATAAAGTAACGAGCGACCGTTGAAAACCCGTCTGTCTTCTCGTCCATGTTCCTCCAAAATCTCTAACACCTTGATAAACATGGATCAATTTTTAATTACAACATAATCCTGAATTAAAAAAGAAAACATTTTTAAAAAGTGAAAAGAAACTTTTCGCAAGTGAGTGCTTCGCGAGACACAGAATAATTAAGTCGCAAATCGTTGTGGCAACGATTATGCGATGAATGGACGTGTAGAACGTAATTAAACGAGACTTTATTAAAAATATGCTCGCTTCGCAACTACAATTATGAGCAGCTAATGCGGTCAAACAGAGTTTGATGTTGTTTGCTCTATATTGAAACTTGTTCTAAACTTCACTTCAGTAAACTTGTAATGTTTGTTGGATCTTCTGAATATAGGGAAACATGGTACGCGGTAGATAAAATCGCGACTGCAGTTCCTTAACACGAGTGTTATCTCGCGATCAATTATTATCGCACGGCTGTGCGTTACAGTGAAATTCTTCTCAAGCTTTTGGACATCAGATCGAAAATATTTCAACGTTACGTCACTTTTAACTTCTTGAAAATATTAAAAATAGCAAATATATTTTTCTCTGCTCGTTGCAGTCGAGGTAGAGAATTTTTAATTCGCATAAAGATCCGCGATCTAGACGTCGGTGAACTCGTATATACGCGATTTTATAAATTGCACAATTGCACAATTTCCGATACATAATTCACATTTTTATTCTACATTTTAATTTATATTATTTCATAGCATACATTGTCATAGGATACATCCATCATGTTTCTTTATAAATTTCTTCAAAATTATCGCATGCATTAAACATACAATGTTATCTACGATATTTTATATACAACGTTACACCCAATTTCGTACCGTATGTAAAATTATATGCATATTCAGTGATCAATCGTTACACACCTCGCGCCTCGTGAAAATAAATTGTTCGCGCCTCGAACGCGTTAGGAGAATTATGTATAATATAAAACTGCGATGAATGGGACGATCGGTTTAGAATAAGTTGATTATGGCGCACTTAAAGCGACGGTGTTGGCCGTTTCGAAGTTGCTGCCAACTTTATCAAAGAGTACAGGAACTCGGTAATTCGATCATGGATAAAATTCTCTATTGTAACTTTTGTTTGAGTTACGACGCGAAGATAACGCTTTCAAAGAGATATTACCGCAGTTAAAAACGTGCCCTTGCCGGTGCATAACTTTTTCTGCTGTCAGAAAAATTAATTGCGTCTGAACTTTTCTGATTCTATACTCCTCGAAACTTGCAACATCGTCTACGGTATTATCTTAATCCTTAATTGTCTGAGCGATTTTCACGAACGTGACTGGTACAATGGGATCGTGATGGTTCTCAAATGAAAAGCGCAGAAACAAGTGTTAAACTAATTCTAGATAAACGTTCTAACGACGTTTCGTTCTTAGCTAGTGCATAAAATAAGAAATATATGGCAAATTAAACTTTTGAAAGTAAACGAAATGGAAATACAATGATGGCGACATTCATGACCCCATCATTATAGTATATTATAGTATAGTAGACCCTATAGTTATAGTATTAACATGTTATGAGTATTACAAAAGGTATTTAATAATTGATAGTAGAACTATATAATAGTAATAATAATAATAATAATAATAATAACAATAATAATAGTATAGTTCCCATTCATATATACATATATCCCGAATGTGTTCAAGATTAAAAATATTAATCTCTTTATATGTGATTTATTAATAATATTAATATGTATTAATAATAATAGTAATAATAATAATATTAATATAAATATAATTATAATAATATTAATATTAATACAATTACAATAATATTAATATTAATACAATTATAATAATATTAATATTAATACAATTATAATAATATTAATATAATTATAATATATTAATATTAATATATTATAATAATGTATATAATATAATGTATATAATACGAATTATGCTGCTTCAATAAAACTGTCGTTGCAGTGATGATTGCTGTTGTTCAATGCTAAACGATTCCTGAAGTTTGCAACATTCGCAATTTAATCTGTAACATTTTTTACGTTTAAACATATACTGTTTATCGCAACGGTGCGGTCTAAACGAACGCCATCGAACAAACGTGGTTTAGTTTCGAACGGAAACAACGTTCGGATTACAAACGTTCTACCGTAGCTCGTTTCGCCAGCAGTAAAAGAAACAATCGCACTTTTGCTTCTACTTTGTTTCCCGCTTGCCCAACGTACGCGCTTTACACCGGTTTTTCTGTCTACAAATATCATCCGCACGAAGAACGGTAGCTGTCATTTGGGACGGCATACTAATTCCAGCGGGGAAGGTATTACGCTCTCGCGGCGTTCCGCTCGCCCTTCGCCGACATTTTTCTTCTAATTTGTCCCAGCGTCGCGTCCAGCAAGAGGACAAAAACGAATTAAAACCAAGGAGAAGCAATTTAGATATTACTTACGTCGGGATAAGTTACCACGGTGAAAGAGTAACGGCGCGTGAAAAAAAATAAGACGTGAAAGCTGATGCCCGCGTGTGAGAAGCAAGTCGAGCCCGGAGGAAAGCGTAAAAAGACCGGGGAAACTGCCGCAATCTGGGATAAAAGGCGGCATACATTTTTTAACCTTGAAAACTTGCGTCAAACTTGAAGTATTCCAAGAAAATCGTGATTTATCCGATAACGTATCCATGTACAATTGAATTTTTCGATGACGTGCAAAATTTCTCTACGAAGAAAAGCGACGACGCTAATTTAAATCATGATCCTTTTCGTCGAGACGATTCGATAACCCGCTGATTTTTCTCAAACTGCTAAAGTGGTGGATAAATTAACGACTCGCGCAACGGTCGTACAATAATTTTCCTAAATTTGAACAAGCTCGCGACAAAAAGTGAAACATTCGAACGATTTATGACGGCGATTAATTGTGAAAGAGTTTCGTCTCGAATTAAAAAAAAGAAAAGAAACGTGACAAATTTCGCATCACGGTCCGCAAATCGGAGAATTTTTTCGTTGCGCATTCTGGTCGCTAAAAATGATAAATCAACAGCAATTCCGCGTATCGAACGATATAAATTGTAAGCGTAGACTTGAGACAATCGTGTAACACTCATTTGTTTCAATAATGACGATGTTGTGATGTTGTCGAGTCGCTCGAACATCGTGCTGCATTGCCAGATTTACCGATCAGGAAATGCCAATTATGTAACAATTTACCCCGTGTTACAATCTGGCCCGGACTCGTCTATCGTAACTAAATGAACGTTAAATGACGTAATTGAATAACAGCGGGAAAGCTGTCCTCGAACCAATTCGGATCGATCAGTCGGTTACTTGGCAAAAAGAAAGTCGCTGTATCCAGGTTCCGACCTCGAGTGTGACCATGAGGACAGTTACAGAAGAAATTCGGATTATCGGATTTCCATTTATTCTCTCCATTTAGTCGCGTGCAAAAATTCGGTATAAAATCTGCCATGTTACAGATACCCGGACACGTACTAGACAATTTTTTCCGATTTCATTCGTTTCGGATTCTGGTTGTAGGAAATTATGTTATGCCCGAGGTCTTGCGAAGCGTGCGTGCTTCACTGAACTAGGGGGAGCCGCCGCCGATTTTAGATGTTCCACGAGATGGAATTTCCAGGT